AGTGACTTGAAGTGTCAAGTTCATCTCAGTGTCGGCTGAGACCATGCGTTCACATTGCTGCAGCACACATCCATGGGTGAAGTCATGAAAACATCCCTGGGAAGGACATGAGGGCACACAAAGCGCCTCTCTCTTCCAATTCCCATGAGGTAGAAAATGTCTAAGTCTTGGAAATGCGATAAAATTCCATACATTTTGAAGAAAAATAGCCATGATTTAAATTATTCTGTTATGATTTTTTTAAGTTTAAACATCTAAGGAGAAAGCCACATCTTAAATCTATAATCCTTGAGACCTCTTTGACAAGAATCGTTAACCAGTGCCCTGCACACTCGCTGGCAAATGACAGTTCAGCACCACGGACAGCAGCCATCCCCCTGCGCTGACACTTAGGACAAGCACTCTTGTCCGCAATTAACCAGCAAAAAGTTCAGGAGTGGAGGCGTGGCTCAGCAGTAGAGCACTCGCCTTGAGCAGGGAAAAAAAAAATAGCTGAGAGCCTAAGTTAGCCTTTGAGGGCTCAGAGTGAAAGGCCTCTCCCTCCCCCCTCCCTCAGAGGCCTACCTACCTGGCCCTTTCTTAGTCCCTCAATGGGTTGCTTTGACAAGGCTGGGGTGCTGCTCCCTCCCTCCCATCCCCACAGCCTCTGCCCTTCACTCTCAGCCTCCTCCCTCCCACAGGTTCTACAGCGTCCCCACTCTGGTCCACATGTATGACTTTGGAGCCCAAACATCACCTGAAAGTCCTGTTTGCGGAGCCCCTGCAGAGCTGTGAGGTGTCTGCTCTGATAGGATGGGGGGGTCCCACCATGGACCCCTGTGGGAACCTGGCCTGCAATCGGGGGAGGAAGGCCCAGAGGAGATGGCTGCTTCCCCTCTGCCCTGCCCCGTCCTTCTTGTCAGTCAGCTGGGCTCATCCTTAGTGATTCAATCTAGGGGTCCACAGCTTGGAGTGTACAGTGCCCTACCTCCACATCTCCCATCATCCCCCCTTCTCTGGCTGGGGCCTCCCAAAGCCTTCACCATGCACTGAGGAGCCTGTAAGCCTCTTCATTGGATTAAAGCGAACATCTGCTGAAGAAAAGCCAAACCTTAATTGGAAGCCCCAGGGATGTTTGCTGAGGCAGCCGGGAGAGGAACTAATGAAATCACCTCGCGTGGCCCTCGGTACAGACCTCAGAGATAAAGCCACATTGCCAGGCAACCAGCTGGGCTTTTCCACCTGCAGGTCTGATAAGGGGCTTGGCAGAGCTGTGTGTTTGGAAAATATGATTTTGTAAGCAAGGCTGAGGGTATGTTGACGTTGCTGTCCAACGCCATGGGCTCCCCGATCAGATATGCAGCTGCTACTTTCCTGGGGGTGGAGGGAGTGGGGGGGATGGAGGCAGAGCTGTTTCCTAGGATCCCAGGGCCTTTGCATTGGCTGTTTGTTCTGCTGTGTGTCTGCCTGGCTCTCTCCCTCGACTCTTTCAAGTCCTTGCCAAGTTATCGCTGCCTGAGGCCTGCCCTGACTACCAAACAGCCTCCCCACACCCCATTCATTCCTTGATGCTCCAAGGCCCCTTACCCTGCTCAGCTCCCTCCTTTCCCCAAAGTCCTGCAGCCTGCAGACCTAGTCAGTGATGCACTCATCTATTCTGGCTCAGTGCTCATCATCTGTGTCCTTAACCCAAAGTACAATCTCCAAGAGGGTCTTGTCTCTTTCTTGCTAGCGTATTCCAGGAATCAGGAGCAGAGCCAGAGACACAGTAGCTACTCAACAAGTGTTCGTTGAATGAAGAAACATCTCCCCTTCTCAGCGCCCAAACAGCTTTGGTAGAACTGAAAAAGGAATCTAGGCCCAGGATCTACCCATCTCTACCACCCCACCCTCCTCTGGAAGAGGGCAGACTCCTCCTGGAGGAAAACCCAAGGCTGAGCACTGGGAAAGTGTGAGGGGAAGGGGGCTCTCGCCCCACTCTTCAATGTGTGTATGACTCGGGATGGAGCCCCAACATTCCCTTTTGGCAGATGATAATACCATTGACTTTCTTCATCCAAACACAACATGCTCTCACATGACCACTTTGGGGGCTGACAGCCTGAGCTCAAGGCTTGTCCCATCTGCTCCACTTACTAGCTGTGTGGCACTAGGCAGCACAGGCAACATCTCTGAGCCTCCTCCTCCTGATCCACCCACAAGTGAGCAACCTTTGCTCTTGGCTCCCTTGTGAGGGGGTGGCTGTCATTTTCCTCCTTTGGAGGACTGTGGGAAGCATCTAGCAGAGGTCCCTGGGTGGAGGCCAGTAGCTGCAAGTGGTCTCCATGTTGGGGTGACCCCAGGCCCCAGGGCTTTTCTCACCCTCCATCAGCCCTGTCCCTAGCTGATTCAAAGCCTTGTTCCTGTTCCTGTTCCAGAGGACTCCATCCTCAGCCCCAGGCTCCCAATTAGCCTCCATCTTGGCTACAGGCACTGAAGTGGCCTGCCATGAACAAGGCCCTTCCTAAGGGGGTCAGGCAGATGAATCCCCTCCAAATTAGGACCCAAGAACACTCAGAATCAAGGGTAGAGAAGGGAAGAGTGAGGATCCTGTTGGACTTCCATGCCTAGACACAAAGCAAGTGCTGGTCTGGGTGTGAGCTTGAGCAGACTGCAGAGCATGCTGGGAGAGGAGAGGGAGACATGATGGCTGCCACCACATCTGTCTCCACACTGCGCTCTGTATCCACAAAATGCTCTCAGCCCAGCCCCAGGCAGGCCCGGTTCTATCCCCGTGATTGGTGGGTGGTTTTTCAAGTCTCAGTGTGATGTCCCCTCTCTCCCCTCCCTGCTCCAGTTGGCTCACGGACTCCTGACCTGAGTCTCACACATCTCTCATTTATGCCTGAAATCATTAGAAATGCTACAGATTCTTCTTTATAGCAGCAGAGACAAAAGTCAGCCCAACTGTCTGCAGATAGAACAGACCTAAAGAAAGCGAGTAGATGATGGTGCTTAAGATGCTGGAACACAGTTATGCCCCGGCACGCAGGAGGCGAGTCACCAAGTTGACATGTCACTGTGACCCAATGTCATAGGCCCTGGGTACTGAGTCTTTCAGCACACAGCTGAAGCCGGGCTGGAAACCAACCTGGAATGAAAGCAGCGGCCTCAACACACAATAAGAGAAGAGCTTCGACTGATTGACGCCCGTCTGGTGGTAGGAGCTCAGTCACGGTCTGTGCTTCCCCAAGAAGGAGATGAGCTCTGTGCTTCCCTTCTGCTGTGTTCCCTGGATCCCCCATCCACTCCCTTGCTTTTTATTGGCTGTGTCAGGCACATGCCCCACCCCTGGCTGGCCACGCCCTCACCTGCTGCCAAGGACACCTCCTCAGACCCACTCTCCTTCAGCATAACCCTGCCCCTGGCCAGCACAGCATCACCGCCGCCTTTGGCTTCTTTCCTTATCCCCTCTGGCTTCACCCTCTAGGACATGGGCTATGTAAGGACTGGGCCTTTGCTGTTCTGTTCACTGTGTGCGCGGTAGCTGATCCTTAGCCCGTGGTTGTTAGGTGCATGGATGGATGGATGGGTGGCGCACATCACTACAGTTCCTCACGTAGGGACAGGAGGAGGCACAGTGTAGGCAGGAGATAGACAGCAATGAAGATAGGCAGAAGGAGGGGTCTGGAGGATGCCACTCAGTGCCAAGAGGTTACCCAGATGCCACTCTAGCAGAGGGGTTCTGGCGAAGTCCCCAGGGAGGGGGGAGATGGGCCTCTGGCGGAAGCAACCAGAGGCAGACTTCACAAGACACAAGACGCGTTAGCAGAGCTATGGCTTAAGTGGTAGAGTGCCAGCCTCGCAGGAAGGAGCTAAGAGACAGCGCCCAGGCCCTGAGTTCAAGCCCCAGTACCGGTGAACACACACACACACACACACACACACACACACACACACCAGGTTCTGAGAACACTCAGAACAAAGAGTTGAGGCGGTGCGAACACCCCAGCTGGGCTGCCCGGGGATCCGGGCCGAGGCTGAGCCGCGCGGCCGGGCCTGCGTTTGGGTCTGCGCCGGGTCTGGGCCCGGTGGGAGGGAGCCCTCCGCGGTGCGCGCGCATCCGCGCGGAGTCCGTACCGTGGCCGCGAACTGGCCGGCAGGGCGAGGGCCGCGCAGGGAGCACGCTTGCGGGCGTGGGACAGCGGAGGGGAGGCGCCGTGGAGGAGGAGGCGAGGCGCAGAGACCCGGAGTGACTTGTGGAGGTTCAGCTGGGCCTCGGTGCCCCCGCCTGGGACCCGGCCGACTACGTTAGCGGCCCCCCGCTACGGCGGCGGGCTGGGGAGAGGGGGACCGAGGCGGCCCGAGGTGAGGCTGGGGGCGGAGCGAGCGGGTGGGGCGGGGGCGGCCCGG